TTTTTTTTTTTTTTTTTTTTTTTGTTATCGGTCGATTACTCTCTGTTCTTAGTTTAAACATTGCTGCACACAGACAGGCATATGAACGCTTTTTTTTTTAGAATCGTCGATAAGTAACAGCGTAACGACTATAAGGATTTGCACGATAACGTATCGTGTAAAATGTCACTCACACGAAAGAATAAATCAAGGAGAAATAGACGCAATCCCAGTTCTATGAAACGATCTCCAAAAATTTTGGAAATAATATACGCCCCGGAGTCATAGGTATTTTCTACAGATATTTTCCGAAAAAAAATGTGTTGCTGATTTTTACAGAGAACGAGCAAAGTCCACGCACACTGTCGTGTGACGACGAATGCGACGATAAAGAATGTACTTACTTGCCACGAGACTCGGATCGTTTTGGCGTACGTGACGCGATGCGATTATTTTTGGACAATCTCTCTCCTCTCCCTGAACCTCTCTTTCTTTCTTTCTTTCTTTCTTTTTCCTCTCCATCTGTCCCCGTTACATATTGTACATTCACGTGTTCCCATGTCCCTTTCTCACGGAGACATCATTCGATTACTTTTACTCGTTTGTCGTTCTGCTTATTACCGCAGTTATTTATTCAACCGTACACATCTCGCGTTTGTTTCAGAACTGTACAGATTGACTGGCGAAGTTCTTGGCGAAGGTGCTTACGCCTCGGTTCAGACCTGCAGATCGCTGTACACCGATCTAGAGTATGCCGTGAAAATAATCGACAAAATCCCCGGCCACGCACGGGCACGTGTCTTCAAGGAAGTGGAAACGTTCCATCATTGTCAGGGCCATCCGAACATTATCCAATTGATCGAGTTCTTCGAGGACGAGGAGAAGTTTTATCTGGTATTCGAGAAAGTAAATGGCGGTCAACTGTTGAGCCGGATACAAGAAAGAATTCACTTTAGCGAGCGAGAAGCCAGTCAAATAATCTTAGAGATTGCAAGCGCGTTGAATTTCCTACACAAGAAAGGTATACTCGTTTCTATGTTTTGTTATTCTACGATGAAATGTACACTCACTAATATGGTGCGACATGACACTAATGATACTCAGAGACATATCTCTGTGAGATTTTCTCAGTTTCAAGTATATTTAACACGTTCCGTGCCATGTGTACCACCGGTG